CACACACACACACACACAAACACAGCTCCTCCCCAGGAGTCTGTCAGATGATAAAAAGATGTTGTTGCAAACTGATCATCAGCAGCTAAAAACAAGACAAACATCAAACACAAAGACCACACGGGGACTCGGCCTTATTTCTAACATTTCTCTCTTTCCCACTCTCTTCATTTTTGTCCGTGTTCATGAACCTGCCAGGGAGCTTCTTGATTCGTTCTGCTGTTTTAGAGATCATATTGTTTCTGGTGTTGTTTTTATCAGCACTGCTTTATTCATATTACTGCCTGTGGCAAAGGGACAGGGATGGAGCAATAAAGAAAGAGAGAGCTGGGTGGTCTTCATATATGGCAGGCAGCATGTGTGCAAATTGGGGGGGGGGCCGTCTGTCCAAGCATCCAAGGCTGTGCTGATGAGGGTGGCAACATTACAGTGCAATTGTCAAAGTATAATGACAATTTTTGACAAAATGCAGTCTCTGCTTGATCCCTGCACTTGTATGCACAAACACACACATCACATACTGAGAGACAAGCGTGTAATTTATCATTCACTATGGCTGGAAAGCAGAGACAGTGGCAGAGCTACTGGGAGGCTCCATTCATCACTGTGATAAAGTTTGACTTGTGAGTTGTATATGAAGACCTCTTTTCCCTTCAGTCACTGTCAGGATGACCCTTAGACAGGTAAGCCACAAGCAGTGACACTAATCATCATTCATAAAGTTAAAAAACAAAACAAGTGACAACAACAAAACAGGGGATAACGTGCAAATGTTACACAGAGTTTGGATTCAAACCCAGGACCTTCTTGTTGTGATGCAACAGCACTAACCACTGCTCGTGGCAAAAGGTGGAGGACGGTTGCAGATTACTAGTACAGCATAAAGTTTACCTTACAGTACTGTTCAGTTATAGTATCATCAATTAAGCACATCTGGGGCATTTTATTAAATTTGTATTTGCTGAATTTTCCTGCTTAAATCAAACAAATAAGCTGCAATAGCAATAAAAACCTCCAAAATAAAAGTCAAGTGTGGTAAATTAAATTGTAAGGTGATGATGTGATGTTATCATGATAAAAATATAATTAATTGATTTATGACCTGCTGTAATTTAGAAGTAAATATTTTAGTAATATTTGTGTATCATATTTAATTAATATTTTTTAACAGTTTTCTTACATAAGGGGAGAACTCTTAGACCCCCTGTGAAGAGCATTTCCCAAGCACTGTTCAACCAAGCAAGGAATTTTTAACACAGCTGTTCAAAACATCCTCGTTTATTTTGGATGCTTACATTATTTTACTTTGGACACAGAAACAAAAGTATTTTACAAAATCATTTTTGAACATTTTTTGGTTTCTTTGTTTTTTACCAGGGACAAAACTATCAACCCTTCTGATGCTAATAGTCAGTTATGTGTCCTTTTTGCTGGATAAGAGCCTGCAACCTTAGTAGTAGTTTTGAACTGATCTCACAAACATCTCATGAGCAATCCCAACCCATTTTCCTTTGGCAGATCGCTTGGGGTCCTCCAGATGTGATGTTCTTCTGGCAGGGGCCTGGGCCTTAGGTCCACCCTATAGGAGTATCAATGGGACTCAAGTCAGGGCTTTGCACAGGCCAGTTTTGGGTGTTTGTTTTGTTGGAAGAATGAGATGATGTATGAACCAGTTCCTGTTTTACTGCTGACAGCTTGAAGTTTTCAGAATCTTCATAAATCCTTCTTTCTTCATAATTATTTCCACCTTCACAAAATTCCCCAGATCCAGAAGCACTGAAGCATTCCCACAGCAACATACTCCCACCACCGTGTTTCATTGCAGAGACTGTTCCTTGGGTTGTAAGCCACTCCCTTCTTTTTCCAAACACAAGCAGCGTCTCTCTGGACACAATTCCAGCATGCATGATCTTTAGCATACGTCAGTCTTGCTTGTAACTGTGTGTTCTGTAGTAGTGAAGATTTCTTGGCCTCTAACCTTGCGCTCCATTCTTCTGCAGTGTTCTAGTGATTGTCTACTTTGAGACTACAATTCATGACCTGGCTAAGTTGTTTTAGACGCATCTCTCACTAGTTTTCGTTCTAGAGTCTTTGAAATCTTTTGCTTAATTGACAGGCTTATTCTGTTTAAATTTCTTCATTACACTTTTCAGTCCAGTTCTCAACACTGCCAAGCACTCAAAACTCTGCATATCCATCTCATGCTTTATGGGCATCAACAGTCTAAAGTGAATTGTTTTTTGGTTTTGGTATCATAATTTCTCAAGTGACAACTCTTGCTAAAGTACAACATATACATTTGCAGATAATCCTCAATATTAACTTGATTTTTTCTGGTAGTAATTATGTTATTATATGCAAAAAGAAATACTTTATGCTTTCTAAAGAAAACTAGTAAAGAATGCTATGTTGAAAATCCATTGCTCTGTTAAAAAAGCACTTGGGAAAATTTGGACAAAATGTTGCATTTTATGACGTGGGGGTGGAGCGGTGATTGTGGGCTAAGAGTTTTGCTTCAGGCATTTTGGTATGTACTGTGTATGCCTTTTATATACCAGTTCAAAATATTGTCTAAACTTTACACTTGGGCGTGTACAAAAGGACGAAAAACCGCTGCCAGAAAGTATTTGCTGAGACTACAACAAGCCACTTTCAATTTTTCTCTAGACCGGTGATATGAACAGCTTTATTATGCGTATTAATAATTGCATCATATGAACACCCTACCACAACTAGGATTTCTGTGCTCGTCCGACCTTTTACCTTCAGTCACATTCAGAAAGAAAAAAGAGCCATGTTTAGGTTAGAGGGCGGAGCATGGGCATCGAGGGATTCTACAGACAAAGTCAATTTTTTCAATTTTGGAATTATAATTTTACAGCAATGAATCTAAAATAGTTGTGTGTATGTAATTTCTTTCCATCCTCTGTTTTACAGCCAGCTGAGGGACAATGACAGGAGAAGAAGCAGGAGTAGCATGGCTTTAGATGGCCCAGTGGTCAGAGATGTGGACCCCCCAGTCCCAGAAGAGCCTAGGTTGGAGACAGTAGCCCTCTCTGAGTAGAGCGGGATGACATCAAACTGGCCACTATCTGCACCCTCCTGCTCATCTTCTGTTTGTGTCAATTCCTCCTCTTCCTTACTGTCCAACACCTGTCGGGGAACAAAGTGTGAGTGAAAGTTATTGTTGCATTTTTTCTGCTTGGACATTTTCACATTTCATAGTGTTGGAAACAGTGCCACTCTCTGGGTCCTGGTGAGGAGGGGAAATGTCAAAGCTTTTATGTGTTCGCTTGAGGTAAGAAAATAGACTTTGAAACTCAAGAACTGAATCTATATTAATTATTTAAGCTAAAGCTATTAGCACATGGCTAATTACATTGTGTGTTGTTCTGTTTTGTTTGTTTGTTTTTTGCTATGTGCAACCAAAAACGTCTTTTGAGCAGCGCCCTGATGAATATGAGTCACTGCAGTGATATGGGTGCTAGTGCTGCTGGTTGAATCTAAGACCCATGTAAAGTTGCTTTACTCATAATATGCCTTCAGATGAAACTGCCTCTGATCCTGGCGTGTTATATGTATTTATATATATCTGACTGGGATTGTTTGAGTCTTTTTTAACATTTGATTATCTAGTGTGAAAATCAGAAGCTCCAAATAGGGCTGAGATGAGCAGCAGGTATAAACTGAGAGAAATGACGTGAGTTAAGGTTAGGGCTGTGCGATATGACCAAAATCTCATATCCTGTTATAAGACATTTATCGTCCTGACAATGATATAAATCACAAAAATGTAACATTTTCTGTAAATTCTGTGAATCTCGACTTTCCTGAAGTGTTTCCAGCTGGGCGTGCTGTACCTGGAGTCGAGTGTTTTAACCGATGAATGAAACGATACATTTTTAGACATTAGTTGTAACGGCCGCCATTTTCTTTGTATTTATTACACAGCGTGCAGCGGGGAAAAGCCTGTTCTAACGTTTGAGTCTAATGTTTATTTTTTTAGTACCTGGCGGCTATTTTTGCTTCTCATCCGTAACCTCTCCGCATACTTTTTCACGTGATTCAGTTTATTTTGAAAAGCCTCAACAGGATCTTGAGCTTTATTGTGAAATGAGCCACGCGATGGTTTTACCATCATTGTTGCTAATGACAACACATAAAAACAGACACTTGTCCATCAGTAGTGTGGTTATATTAAACATAAGAGAAAGAGAGAACTTTAATAAATTAATATAGCCACTACAGTGACCATCAAAACCATGAAAAAATATTGCTGTAAACAGTTTCAATTTCACGACACCACGAAACAAACGATAGCGTGATAGGAAACGATAGATGTTTTTATATCATCATCCGATATATATCGTTATATCGAACAGCCCTAGTTAAGGTGGGCGCTGTAATGCTTTGAGGATGAGGAGAGACAAGATGTGATGAAATAAGACAAATAACATATTAGTGAGTAGAGGAAATGATGAAAGGATACAAAGAAAAAAGGAGGAGGGAAGGAAGAGGATTTGGGGGAAGAAGTAGGAAGGGGAAGACACAGGGCATGAATAAATTCATGCTAATAAAGCCTAAGCGATGCACTGCTTCCAACCAACACCTCAACTAATCTGTTCACTGGGAGAGAGACAGGCAAACACAGAGAGCGAGCGAGCAGAGGAGGACAACCAAGACAGAGAGAGAGAGAGTTGGAATCCCCTCTTGTCCACTGGCCCAGATTATCTCTGGCAGTAAATGCATGCTGGAAGCTAGAGAGCCACAGCCGTGGCAGATTGTGGCCTTTCCAAGGTTACATTAGGCAGAGCCACAATTGGCTTGGACCACATTTATTGGTCAGTGACGGACAAGAGCAGCCGGGAACCATGGTTATCAAAAGATGTTTGAATGTTCTCACCACATTTCAGAGAGTGTGTTTATGTGTGTGTGTGTGGGGTGGGGGAGGGGAGGGGTGTGTGGGGTGTGTGTGTGTGTGTGTGTTTAGGGAGGGGCAGTGACAGAAATAGTGTGTCAGTAAGAAAACAACAGAATTTGAAAAGAAACAATAGAATTTGAATAAAACGAGTAGAATTAGAATGAAAACAACAGCATTTGAATAAAAACAACGGAATTTGAGAACAAACAATAGAATTAGAATGAAAAGAACAGAAATTGAAAACAAACAATAGAATTTGAATAAAACGAGTAGAATTAGAATGAAAAGAACAGAATTTGAATAAAAACAACGGAATTTGAGAACAAACAATAGAATTAGAATGAAAAGAACAGAATTTGAAAACAAACAATAGAATTTGAATAAAACGAGTAGAATTAGAAT